ATCAGGTTGCCAGGTAACGTGTGGTACTGTGCACACACGTTAGCCCGCTCGGCCACCCCGCCCCTCAGCTCTTATCTCCTGTTCCATTTCCAGCCCTAGCTTCTGGAACGCATCTCGCACACTTTCTTCTCAGAAGATTTGGAGTTTGTTTCTTCTCCCCTACACGAGAGACTAAGAGGTATTTCTTGCAACTCTGCACCAATGCATCCGGAGAAGCTGGCCAAACCATCTTAATTTGTTTTTTTCTAGAATGATTTACACTGGTTTGACCTCGAGATTGCCATTGATCAGTGTTGCGAAATTCCTGTCTTTGTGATAGTCCTTGGTATAGATGGTATATCATTGTCCTTGGTCACCCTCTCAACCATTTGCAGGCATTGCATCTCTAGGGACTGGATTTGACTCCTATGTTTTGAAGGGAACGTCCAAAACTCAGAAGAACAAGAAGGGATACCGATCTCTATACCACTATTTTTGATTTCATAGTAACCTTTGTTTGGGTTTAAAAAGCCTTTCCTCACTGAGCAGAATATCTTTCATGCTATCTCTATTCGTTGCCTCACCTCCTCGTCATGTTTACTCCTTTCTCCACTAGAGCATCAAGAATATTCTTTTTCCTAACCTGGTTGAAGGTTTTGCATAGGCCCAACATACATACTGAGAGTTCTTTATCCTTCTCAATGCTGTTTTCATGATCTGCCGTATGGTGAAATTAGATCCCATGTGCTCCTTAAACTCCTGAATCTATATTGTTCCTCTCCAATCTTGCTTTCAACAACTCTCTGCCTCTCGCATTTAGGATTATCAAGTATATCTTAATGGGCACACTAAGGAGTGATATATAGGCACTACAACAGCAAGCTAACAGTCATTTGGGATCTTTATCTGTTTCCAGACCAGGTTCAAGAGAGTCTTTTACTGCCCATATACCTCATCATTTCCGGGATGATTTCATCCAGTCCAGCTGATTTACCAAAGTCTTGGAGATGGATCCCTGCAGTTCTTCATCGATGTTATCACCCTCTTTTAAAGATCTTCCTCTATCATCCGGGTCTTGTTTCGGCTTGAATTTATTACTTTCAGTAACTCCTTAAAATATTATCTCGATTGTCTTCTCATTTCACCAGATGTTATTTCCATCTCTACACTGGATTCCTTTTGATGTTGGTGGTCTCTCCTTTTTCATTATTCTAAGTACTTTGTAAAAACCTTTTTGGCTTTCTTTGGTAATCTCTTCAAGTTTGTGGCCTAGATCTTCCTAACAATTTCCTGCAACACAACATATATAGCTGCAAATACTTAGTTCTTGGTTTCCTTCCTTCTCTTTGTTCTTGGTTTCCTCTTTGTACTTTTGGTGGGCACTGAGTGTTCTTTGGCTCAGGAAGTATTTCTAAGTTGCTTTCTTCTCCTTTACTGGTCACTTCACATCATCTGTCTACCAGGCAGTTCGTTTGAAACTGACCTAATGTTGTTCTGTCCACAGGTGAGTCTCACAACATCGAGAATAATATTTCTAAAAGCTGTCCAGCTCTCATCAACATCATCACTATCCCATGGCCGGGAAGGTTCACATGACATCCTCTTAATTTTTTCGCAATAATATTGAGCCATTGCATTCTCCTTCAGCCTATAAGATTTTATGGATTTTTTCCTACTGGAAGCGTTCTTTTCATTCCATGTTTTGTTCAGCTTTAATAGATAATGGTCACTTCTGATCTCAAAGCCTTTCTTCGTTCTAGTGTCTTCAATATTTCTCAACTCTCCCCTCTTGACCAGTACAGTTGATGTTCGAACTTTCGCTTCTGCTGGATTCTTCACGGGTGTACTTATATCTTTGTTTATGAAGAAAGAAGGTATTACTAATCACCAGGTAATTTACAACACAAAAATTCAGAATTCGTTCCCTGTTGTCATTCAGACTATCTTCACCGTGGTGTCCCAACACATGAGGCCCTCTCTACCATTCAATTCTCTGACAATTATGGGATTTCCCTCGAAGTCATCTACCGCTTTTTGTAAGGAGCTGAAAAAGTAATCCTTTTCTTCTGCTATTATACTTTCATTCCGTATGTGAGAATCATAGAGTGAATTTTGTTTTCCTTGACAATGTTTAGGACCATGACGCTATCACTCACAAATTTCCAGCTTTTTACTCCTGATAGAAGATCATTATGAAACATGAATCCTCCTCCACTGGCTGCTTTCCCCCTCTTACTGAGTCTCCCGAGTACAGAAGAGTGTAGTTCTTGATCTTAGTAATTTAGAAGGCCTAAACATTAAATACAGCTTTTAAACATTATTTATACATATCAACAGATAATATAACATTTAAAGCTATAATCCTTTTGTAAAACGTTTGAATTTCTTCATTGTTAATCATCTGGCCAAGGTATTTAATTTATTTTTCAGTCCTATTTAATTCTTTATTGGTATTACTTCTTTGGCTAAGTTTTCTATCCCAATGTCTTCAATTTTTCTAAAACCAAGTCATGCACCATGCAAACATTCTTTTCAAGATTTTCCTGCAGAAGCCTGTGTGTAGTAATAACCAGATTTATTATTTCAAATCAACCAATTTGAGTTCAGAACGATTAACGTAATAATCTCTTTTTCAGAACTTTTAAAAGAGGAAACTGAAATGAACTTGCTCATTTTTCTATATATTGTAATGTACACCTTTATTGAAAGTGAGTAAAAAGGGTTTAATAAATTAATATTGAACAATTAAAAGGCAAGCTAATGTAGTTCTACAAGTGCAGGGAAAAGAAAATGGCTGCTCTGTAGTTTCCCAAGAAGGAAAATCCCAAAGAGGAGAGGGAAAAAGCTTTTGGTTTTGGCAAAGAGTTTTTGTGTGACTACAGTGAAAAGAGGTTAAGAGAAGACATCCTATCCTGGCTCCAGTGAGTAAAACCTAGAATAGTGTCACCATTTTGGATGTTGTGTTTGGCAGAACATTGGAAAGCATTTGAAGACAAATGAATTTAGTGCAACATAGGAAGAAACAGTGTATATATAAAAAAGGTTAACTTGCCAATCCATACTTGACTTTATTTTAAAATCAATGTTTAATTTTAATATAAATAGTGCAAATAATAATAGTTTGTCTGAGTTGATCTGATTGTCAGTAACCCACACCCGAGATAAATAAATATAATAATTCTCTTATAATTTTGTTCATTATTTAATAACCTCTTGTTTATTAAGGAGGTATCTCAATGGTAGAAAGTGATTGTTCGAGGTTATATTATTATTATTTGTCAAATACAAGAGGGATGTTACATTTTGGCACTCAACTATGCGTAGCCCATATACTTTAAAAATTAAGTCACGACAATCAGATCACAACTCAAATAAACAATTTGTTTTAATTGTATAGTTTTTTATTAATATGGAGAATAACCAGAGAGAGATGATGGAAGGTAGAGATCTTAATAATATAATTTTTGCGCAATCTAATGGGAATGTTGTTATTATAGAAAATAAGGCAGAGTCAGAAGTACAAAACCTAATCGATGAAAATAGACAGTATGAAAACTCTAACAGTAGTTGCACGGGAAGTGAAAGTCCGTCGGGATTAAATGTAATTCACGAGTTTAGTGAAAATAATGTAGGTAGAGGGTGAAAAAATAAATATAAGTAGTTACAACAATTTGAATTGTACTGATAATAATAATATGTTTCAACAAGCAATGGCTATGCTTCATAATTTTAATATTCAATTTAATAATTTAAACAAAACATTAGAATCTAATAATAAACAGAAAATTTTGAAACAAGATTGTGATAACTTAGAAACCCAAATTATTGTAAATATAACTGAAGTTGAAGAAACTACACTGGCTGATAAAACTTGTAATAATGAACAGGAAATTTTTAAACAAGATTGTGATAACCTAGAAACCCAAATTATTGCAAATATAATGAAGTTCAAGAAACTAAACTGGCTGAGAAAACTACTTTTGGTCACTTAGAAAGTGATGAGAAGCAAACTGTTACTGAAGAGCTTAGCAAAATTAATTCTTCAATTGAAATTGATATCAGAAAATCTGTTAAGGAAAAATTGAGAAACCCTTGAAGAAAAATTAGTGAAAACATAAGTTCCGGTAGAAACTCATACAGTCAATCTAATAAATATCAAGAAAGAACTTCTCAAGTTTCAATTTGAGTTCAAAGGAGTTAAATCCAGCAGAGAAAAGCATCGTAATTATTTTAGTCCAGAAGTTCCTTTATTTCCAGAAAAGATAACTCTACGATTGGGGCAGGTCGCTCATTATGTTATAGTGAGACACGGTAGTCTTTATCCTATCCAGAGGATAAAAAAGGGTTTTAAATTAAACTTGCCAATCCATACTTGACTTTATTTTAAAATCAATGTTTAATTTTAATATAAATAGTGTAAATAATAATAGTTTGTCAGAGTTGATTTGCTGATTGTCAGTAACCCACACCCGAGATAAATAAATATATTAATACTCTTATAATTTTTTTTATTATTCAATAACCTCTTATTTATTTAGGAAGTATCCCAATGGTATAAAGTGGTCTGCCATGAGGTTATATTATTATTATTTGTCAAATACAAGAGGGATGTTACATTTTGGCACTCAACTATGCGTGGCCCATATACTTTAAAAATTAGGTCAAGACAATCAGATCACAACTCAAATAAACAATTTGTTTTAATTGTATAGTCAAATAAAAGAGGGATGTTATAATATATCTGATTTATATTTAGTCAAACTGTTTTATGTAATATTACAGAAGGGGTTAAAGGACACAGAATTTTTTTTTTTTTTTTTTTTCTATTTGGTACATAATTAATTAAAAGTAAAAAATTTAACTCTAATAATTATGAACAAAAAGTAATATAGAATTTATTATTAAATAGAAAATAAAATATGTAGAATGTAAAAACATAAAAAATATTAAATTTCAAATGGAAAGTATGGTAAGAGCACCTACAATATATCATTTAAGCTTAAGATTAACAATAGATTTACCTTAATAGTGTGTGTGAAAACAGCAAGACTTTCTTTTGAATTGTAATGTTGGCGCAGGTATGATACAAAATTGCAAGGGAACATTCCGTAAAGGCGATTGAAAAGTGCATACAACCCGATCTCGACATGAAGCAAATATCCTTCAGGTACTTTGTGAGGGTTGTTGGTTTTCCATATTGCTAAATGACTAAAAAAAAAAAAAGTCATATCAAAATAACATATAATCAAGCCATTGAATCATTGAAAGGAGATGTAGAAGGAGCACAATTTTCGTCTTTGGGACTTAATCATAATAAAAGTATCAATCCTCTTAGCTTGAGTAGGGTGCTAGGAAGTCCCTTTGTTCAGTTTTTCACTTACATCAAGAAAACTGTATTATAGTGAGAAACCCACTTTATAGAAAATCTAATCTTACATATCACTTTGAGTCGAGAATAAATTTGAATAATTATGAAGGTTGAATTCCTGTTTGTTAACAAAACATTGTTACTTAACTTTTAAGTGCCTTACTGCAATATTGGTTTTGGCGAGATAGCATAACAAATGACTTTTTTAATGCTGAAAAGTTTATTAGTCAAGTAAGGCTTAAGGGTGAGACAAATATTTGATTTTTCAAAATTAGTGAATATATTAGAAATTATGCAAAATAGCGGAAAAATTAATAAATTACTTTTATAGTACATTTTATTTGGTTTTAATTCTCTGAAGATTACTCTATCATAAGAACACATAGTGATTATGAAAAAAACAGCAACTCATAGGCACATATTATACAATTCATCAAAAGTCAGAAAGTACAGAATCAATCGCAGTGCGTCATAAAAATACATCATATATGGGCTATGAAAAATTGCATTCCGAATATATGAATCTGTAATATGTTTTTTACCTTTTGAGTTACATAAACAAAGTCTTAAAGCCAAATAACTGTATTATTTTCATTAACAGGTTTTATACATAAGATCCTAGAGAGAGCAATGAAATTATAAAATTTCTGTTGTTATAAAATCATATCTTTGACCCTCTATGATTGTCATTGCAGATGGCATTCACCGAAAGAGGATGAAAAATTCAAATATAATATTTAAGGTGTTTTTTCACTAATTTATCGCACTAAATATTGATAGAAAGTAGTGTAAAGTTTTAAATGTTATAATAAAATAGGTAAGTATTGGATTCATTACTATTGCATATAGTATATGATACTGATGGGTCAAAGATGTGTATAATTCGGTTCATATATATTCTTGTTTTATGTTATATATATATTCAGTGGGCCAGGATCTCTCCTATCCCACAACAATATAAATGGCATATTGTTATGTTCCTTATAACTAGTAATGAAACAAAAACTCTGACAATCCAGATTTAATAAATGATCATTATGATGAAATTAAGCAGATTGCTGAATACCAGTGATTGAAAAACTAACTAAATTCAAATTTATTAGTCCATATTTGGCACAGTATCACCACTTTTGTTTATGGAAATATCAGTTTTATGTAAAATGGTCAGTCTTAAGATGACAAAGAGGGTGCTAATAAGAACAATGATTTTAATTTTATATGTCAGGAACTTTTAATGATACACCTCCAAACTTCTACCATTTCGTTGTTTATTGTTACCATTATCTATTTTCCTATTGTGACATTTCATACAAAATATTAGCCTTTAAAATAAAATAAAAAATAACTAATAATGACGAGATTTTCAATGGAACTTGTACAGTTATTCTTATTTTATTGATGAATTGATATGATTGTATATCAAGTCAAAAATTCTGAAGATGGGGATTACTGCCCAAAAATGTAAATAAAAGTTTTATCTTGATTTAAAAAAAAAAATTCCTGATTTCAATAAAAACGACAATGACCAATTAATATAGATATGGTTAGAATATAAAACAAGAACTTATCTGAACCCATCAGTACCATGCACCAAATGTGATAGTAATAAATCTAATATTTTAACTTATTTTGTAATGTAATGTATAATATTCTACCATCTCAGATCCATATTTATTTCCCCATGAATGCCTCCAAATAGCCATGATTTTATTCCAGAAGATTCACTAAGGATCTTATTGGACATAGGAATCAGATGTCACCAACAATATATTTACTTTTACATAAAAGGCACTTGTCTTAATAAATTTAGACCTTTTAGTTAAGATTTTATTCAACACATGTTATTTTTGTTTATGTATGAACTATTTTATGAAATTCAGTTATTGTATTAAAAATTTACATTTATATAACATATCAGGAGTTTAGAAATCAAAAGTCTATGGACTGGGAAACGCATATCTCTAACTAAGAAGAGGCAAGCAAATGCTGCCTGCCCAAATGGTTTTTATAATAATACTTGGCAGCTAGAGCACTTCAGTACATCTTCAAAGGATGCTATTAGAAACTCTTAACTGAGCAGCAATGAAATATTAACTGTATGGACAAAATTCAGAAACATTGTTAGCATAGCTAGATTAGAATGGACATTCAATTCATTGTCTCCTTGTAAATCAGTGGGGTTAGATGATATTCTAACTGTATTGATCCAAAAAGGATTTTCTGCAATAAAATCCTACTTTTTAGAGCTTTTAAGGGGCAGTTTAATACTTGGTCACCTTCCATATTTCTCACATATATATACAATTGCATCCTACGAACTACCCACTTCCCTCTTTTATGGAAACATTCCACCATCGTCCTCTTCTTGAAACCAGGCAAACCTTCTAACAATACAGCATCCTATAGACCAATTAGCCTACTCACAATCCTCTCAAAAATTTTTGAAAAGATCCTACTGAAACGAATCCTACCTATAATCGAATCCTATAACCTTCCTACTCATCAATTCGGATTTCGTTCCCAGCATTCCACTGTCCAACAAGGACTCCGAGTTGTTGACCTTCCGAGTTCGCTGTGGCATCGAATTCTCTGACTGTTACTCAATTGAGGCTGGCGTTCCTCAAGGCAGCATCTTGGGCCCCATCCTTAACATTCTCTTTACCGCTGATATTCCTGTCCATCCCGATACCCTCCTGGCAACTTTCGCTGATGACACTACTATCCTTTCTTCCAACGCAGATCCTGAAACAGCGTCCGCAAACTTACAAAGGCACCTCTTCTTGATTGAACACTGGTTTAAGAAATGGCGCATCAAGGTAAACGAATCTAAATGTAAACACATTACCTTCACCCTTCGGCGTAATACCTGCCCACCAGTTTATTTGAACTCCATTCAGCTTCCTTTCTCAGATACAGTCTGGTATCTTGGCTTTCTCTAAGACAGACCACTAACATGGAATCCACATACTAGACTTAAAAGACAAGAACTTAACAGATGATATGGCCAGCTATATAGACTACTGAATAGAAAATCTAAACTTTCTGGTGAAAACAAATTACTGATCCACAAGACAATACTGAAACCCATCTGGACTTACGGACTAGAACTATAGGGAACAGCTAAATTTTCTAACATCAAACGCATTCAATCCTTTCAGTCTAAAGTCCTCCGTACAATAGTCGATGCTCCCTTCTATGTAACCAATAAAACCCTGCATAATGACCTTAATGTCCCATTTATTCTTGATCTTATCCCAGCCAAATTTTCCAAATTTCACCAGAACCTTTCTCATCACCCAAATCCCGTTGTACAATCCCTATCAAGCACCACCCATTCCTACAATCCCATTCGTAGGTTGAAGCGGCAGTGGCCACGAGACCTTTTGTAAATATGGATATTTTGGAGTTCTAGCAATGGCCGGATTCTCCACTCAAGTCATGAGTGTCTGTGGCTGTAGCGCTCTTACTCATCCTCCGCTGGTCTTAAATACCAGTGAAGTGGGTGAGGGAGAAGCGTAGGGATCTCCTAAGCCTCCCTTTTCCCTCCACATGTGGAGGGGACAGGATTGGTTCCGAGATCACCTGGCTAATTGTAAATAATGTATATAGGTATGTTTTATCTAGGATGTTTGTTTTACTGTTATTTCTATTTTTACTTACTTATGTGTATATATATATTTTTTTTTTTTCTTTTACTTTTTTTATTTATTTCTTTTTTTTTTTCTTTTGTTCTTTTTTTCTTATTCTTTTGTTATTACTTTATTTATATTTATATTTTTGTATATACGGTATGAATGTACTCTCTGAACTCTATTATAAGTGTCCTTAACTGTGACAAATAGTAGTATTTCTCAATAAAGTGTTTAAAAAAAAAATTTATATTATGAATAAAATGCCACAGCAATTTAAAGAAAAATGCAAACAAAACGAATATATATACCTGAAAATTTCAAACAAATCCTGTAGATGTGTTGAAATTAGACTGGCAATTATAGGAAGAAGAATCACAACAATAAGAAGGGCACTCATCAAAGTGACTACATCTTTCTCTGACTATAAACAACAAAATAAAATTAATGAACATTATGAATATAAAACAATTTAATTAATAAAACATATAACATGATAAAATGAATTAGAAAATTTAACTAAATAATCATAACTTCTATAATATCTCTCTCTCTCTCTGACTATATAATCAATCTTCTTTAAAATATCTAATCTTCCCTCTCTGCCTAACTTTCAAACAACCTGATCTTTATGTATCTATTACATCTATTATTTAAAAAGAGATGGGGTGGATAAGTTTAGACAGGATGAAACGGATAAGGTAAGACTGCCAAGAATGAAGAGGGGGACAACCCCTATAACATTCAAGGCTCACTCAGCAACCTGAGGAGGCAATCCACAGAAGTTGCAAGGATGGGTGCAGTGTTGCCGTGCGCTCTATGGCAAATCCTTACCTTGTACCTCAAACCTCGTACATCCTCGTACGCTCCTCATTGATAGTTTGTACTATTGTAGGCTCAATGTTATTGTTTTTTTACCTTCACTTACCTATGTATTTTATTTGTAAATGTGGCGTTTTATTAAAATTTGCTGGAAATATGGAAAAAATGTTGAAATATGAGATAAATACAGTATAAAAATTGTCCAAGTAACTGATGTAAATGCGTTTAAAATACTTAAAACTGTAATGTAAAGCATGAATATGTGTAAATTGTAAATTTTATTGAAATTTACTGGACATGAGGAAAATACAAAAAAAAAAAAAAAAACCTGGTGCGCTCCACACACAACACACTAACCGTTCAACATTGAATAGAAATTATTTTCTCGCCATGTTGGTCTATAATAAAATTCTTGAAATGAAATGAAATGAAATGAAAAAAATATTTTATTATTCTGGGACTGTTGTCCCTTAAGAACAAAATATAAATACAGATTGTATGTCTGTGTGGTTACAATTAATTGTTTATTTACAATAAAAGTTGACTTAAGATAAAAATACTGAAAAGAGAAAGAAAAGAACAAGTAAATTGTACATATATATGAGAAACTAAAATAATCTTAATAAATTGAGGTAGTCTCAGGTTGTGCTCAGATATTTCTCTTAGATATATTTCATAATCAGTCGGATTGAGAAAGGAGTAGGTGCTTAAAGAGGAGAGGTTTAAAAGAGGAAACTGATTGAGCGTGTCCAATATCAGCAGGGATGGAATTCCAGAGGGAGGCGGCTTGCATTACAAAGGATTTGTCAAACGCAGCAGTTCGGTGAGGAGGAGGATAGAGGTCGGAAGTACGAGATCTGGTGGGATGGGATTTGATGGAGTATTTGAATTGTAAGCTGTGAAAAATATAGGAGGGTCGATGGGTTCTAATGATTTGGTACAGAAAGGTGGCTAGGAAGTACTGACGGCGATAGGATGGGTAGAGCCACCTCAACTCAGTGTAATACTGGGTAATATGCGTATCCCTTGAGATTCCCAAAACAAATTGTAGTGTGCAATTCATTAGGCGTTTAAGTTTGGCCTCGGAATCTCCCGAGAGTCCACCGTACACCATACCGCCATAGTCGAAGTGGGGGAAAACAAGGGAGGAAACTAGGAGTTGACGGGACTTATATGGAAGGAGATATCGTAGACGATTGAAATGTTTTAGAGTGGAGATAGTGCGACGGGAAATTTGGGAGATGTGAGGTTTCCAGGATAGGGATTGATCAAAAGTAACACCAAGGTTTTTAACGGTGGTGTGGAATAAGATAGGTGAGTTGTTCAGGAGGAGATTGGGAGATACTGGGGAGGATTTGAGGAGTGAGGGGGATCCGATCAAGATGGCTTTTATCTTCTCGGCGTTCAGAGTGAGCCTATTCAAGTTTGTCCAAACACTTATTCTGTCAAGGTCTTCCTGAAGTTTTAGAGTGGCATCTGAGATATCTGTCGGATTAAAGGAGAAGTAAATTTGAATGTCATCGGCATACAGGTGGTATTGACAGTGCAGGATAGAGGATGGGAGGTCATTTATATATATGGAGAAAAGGGTGGGGGATAAGGAAGAGCCTTGTGGGACGCCTCTGGTCAGAGGTAGAGATTCTAATGGTGGGTTATTAGGAATTAGAAGAAAAAGAGATATTTTTAAGTTTGGTTAGGAGGACGTTGTGGTCTACTGAATGAAAGGCTTTGGAAAAGTCTAGGAGAATAAGGATGGTTAGTTTCTGCTGATCTATGGCTGTGTGAAGGTCTTGGGAAATTTTGATTAGGGCAGACTGAGTAGAATAACCAGGCCTGAAACCGGACAGGTAGGGATTTAGGAGATTATTGTCCTCTAAAAAATGGGATAGCTGGGATTGGACTAACCACTCTAATAGTTTTGAGAGGTTTGAAAGGAGAGAAATCGGTCGGAAATCATTAGGAGCTGATGGGTTTGAGGTCTTCTTCAAGGGACGTACTAGGGCGGTTTTCCAGGATGTAGGGAAGGTAGCATTTTGAAGAGAATAATTATATATATGATAAAGGATCGGAAGAATGGATGGCAATGCGGCTTTAATCAGTCTGACTGGGATGTTGTCGGGACCGTAATCATTGGTATGGGACTTGTGAATGGATTTAAGGAGATCATCTGGTGTAATATGGTAAAGAAAGAAGTGATCAGAATTAAAGGAAGAGAACATAGGAGCCGGACTGGACGTGGGAGATATGGTTGCAAGAGGGCAGGAGACAAAGTGAGCGTTGAGGTTATCAGCAGAAACGGAATTGGACTAAGACTGGGGTGCATTACCAATGGTCAGTTTTCTAAGGATAGTCCACGTGGCCTTGGTATTGAGAGAGTTGGATAGGGAATGATGGTAGTAACGGGATTTAGCACGGCGTACTGCTGATTGAGTGCTATTTCGAAGCTGTTTGTAGGAGAGAAAATCATCAGGAAGTCGAGTCGCCTTGCAGCATCTCTTTCTCTCATACACTCCCTCAAAGCAGGAGTAAGCCAAGGAGCTGGAGGATATCGGATGGTTTTTGTGATAAGAGGAGCATGTCGGTCGAGGATAGAGTGAAGTTGAGTGGTAAGGGTTTCTACCATGGTGTCTATGGATTTTGAGGAGTAGATAGGATCCCACTGGATATCGTCAAGATCTTCTGACAATGTTTCGTGAGTGAGATAATATAGGTTTCGGAAGGATATTGTTCGGGAGGAAAAGGATGGGATAGGGACATTGTAAGAGATCTGGATAAGATCGTGGGAAGATAAAAATGGGACCAGGTGTTGAGATGCAGCAAGGAGTTTGTCTGAGGAATCTAGGATAATTAGATCGAGCCAGGACTCTGAGTACTGAGTATGATGGGTTGGATTGTAGGGTACTATGTAAAGGCTGAGAGAATGAAAGAGGTTTGTTAGGTAAGAATAATCAGAGGATGGTGCCAGTAAATTGGTGTTAAAGTCTCCGGAGAGGATGATGTTTGAGTAGGAAGGGATTAAGTTGTACAATAAAGTCTCAAGTGATTCATCGAAAGAAATTCTAGGAGGGCGATATATGACAGCAAACAGAATGGCAGATGAGGTTGTGAGGATTTCGGCGAAAAAGAATTCAATGTGCAGAGCATCGGTTATGGAAGAGCAGTGAAGGATTTTGGATTTGAGACTGCCATGGACAAAGAGACCTACTCCACCACCCGTTCGATCTACTCTGTCATGACAAAGGAGAGTATAGTTAGGTAGAAGGATCTGGGAGGACGGGATTGTGGGTTTCAAGCAGGTTTCGGATACGGCAATTAAATGGTAGAAGTTATGGAGAAAAAAGTCGTAAAATTCATCAAAATGGGCTAGGAGTGACTGAGCGTTGATGTGGCAGGTTAGAAGGATATTAGTCATGAAAGAAGGAAGGATGGCTTGGTAAACGGACAGAAGGAGTTAAGGATAGGAATATTTCTACAGCAGCTAGAGCCAATATGAGCCCAGAGACCATAACTATTGATATTATCTCTATTGAGAGGAACAATAAGTATGCAAGATTTCCTAGATATTAATAAAAATGATAAACAAAAAATATAAAATTTAGTTAACGAAAAGCGTGTTCCAATTGAGAAAAAGAAAAAAAATACATAAATTAGAATTTCTGAACAGATCAGACATAGAATGTTCTCATAAACAAAAATGAAATTATTATCATAGTCTATTATTAAAACAAACGCAACAAAAACATATACCTGGAGATATAAAAAAGTAAAAATAAGATTGTTCAAAGTGATGTAACATGTGTATGCATGTCAAGCAAACGTGTCTAAGTCTGATGGTGAGTTGATTACGACGTTCTGCTGTCCATCGTCTCGTCGACATTTCACCTTGCCTGCGCTAAACCAACTGTACCTGATTTTTCCTGCAGACCTCTTTTTCCGGGCCAGCCAGTACAGGTGTCTGTTGTTTACGGACATAGCTTCGCTCAGGTAGATCTTGTGGGCATCATTTTCTTGCCATCCGAGGTGACGTGTTGAAAAATCCCTTATGACTTTTCGCCTCTGGATCAACTCATCCCTAAGCGACTGCCGGACGAACCTTACCACAAGTGGCACGGGTGTATCGTCTTGCCTGGATCTCATCCGTTCTGCATAGTCTATGCAGTCTCCACCTTTAGACTAAGGCCCAGGCCCGTCCCCATGCTCATCACCAGGCCCATCGGGGTCTCTCCAGCTCTTACTGGGACTCCTCTTATTTCTATTGACCTGAAAAGGTGCAATTGCTCACTTTTATTGAGCCTGATTTCGAGCTCCGAGACCCGAGACTTGAGAGTCGTGTTTTCCAGGACCAGTCCGTCGATCTTGGAATTTTGAGCCTCCAGTAGTGACTCTATAGTGTCCAATTTCGCCGAATTCTCAAAAGTTATAGAGAGATATTTTAAATTCTTTCACCTTGTTAGCATTGGCATCGAGGGAAAATTTTAATCCCTTGACCTCTTCTGTTAGATTTTTAATGGCAGCAAGTAACAGTTGCGACGTGCCATCGACAGTTTGTTGTTGTGGCGCCGATCTTGAGGGGCTAAGGCACTTATCTGTCGGTTGGATATT